GAGAGTTTAGTAAGCAGTTACACAGCTGCTGCAGCTGAGTGGGGTCATGCTGTTTGTTCACATCTGGTATATTGAAAATAAATGGACAATCTCTGAGAATCAAATGCTTTTTATTCATTTAAATGGTGTGCTCGAAAGCCAGAAAACGAAAGGACTCAAACGCTTTGTAATTAAATGGATATAATCTTGCATATTTGACAATGGACATACTCCTGAATACATTCGAACTCCAGCGCAATTATCAAACTGGTATTGCTTTTGTAATTCAATTGACTAGCTCATTTTTATACTACTTGTACAATCGTATTATGTAGAAGAATCTACTTAACCCATGTAAAGTAAAATCAATTTTGCTTAACATGTTCCTCAGAACCTCCTCTATAGCACAGCTATAGGACCCGCGATAAACATACCGAGGTTGCTAAGCACCTTCACTAAATGATCCTCAAACGCGTCGAAACATTCTTGGTGAAGCAAAGCATCGGCGAATGGACACTTCTCGTTTGAACATTCCATTTTCACACCATCTTCTCCTTTTGGTAAAGGTTCTCCTGAACAGTTAAATTGGCTTCACAAACAGTAGACACAGTTCACTCAGTTGTTCACACCTACGAAGCAACTTATAGGAGCTGGTACAGGACAACCTATCACTTTTGGTATGAATGGTACTGGATGTACCGCCGTTGCTTTACTCTCTTTATCCTTGCCTCTAGCTTTGTCGTGCTTGCGGGCCGATCCCATAGTAGTACTAAAAAGCGGCGAAGTTTTCAAGCTGGAAGTTTTTTTTGGCGAAACGAAAGCATAGCGCTTTGAACGATAGTTTAAAACAAGTCAAAGTTTACAATTGCATATGAAAGCTAACAAAGCAATTCAACCTACGTTTCAGCAGCTAAGTGGCAAATGGAATGAATGAATGAGGTAGATCGTATCATCGCAAACAGGAATGCACATATAGATTCATGGAAATTGCGAGAATGAGATAACAAAGTAGGATAAATTATCATTTTGATACAGAAAGAATACATATATCGATAGGTGATGTTCATGTGTCATTCTCCGTTCAAGGCTATCATGAATCAAGGCACAACATAATGTAAATGGCAATGGACTTAAGAAGAGGAAGATAATCGCCAGCATTATAGATTATATAGGGGAAAAAATGCGTAAGGGGATGCAGAAACAAGTACTTGAATGCAGCTTTTGATTTTTGCAGGAAATAAAATAGCATTATTTCTTGAGTAAACGAAAACAAACACATGACATTACTCCAACAAAGAATAACCTACATCAAAGGAGTCTTGATGGCTTCAAACCGCACGTAGCCAAGGAAAAACTCTAACGAATTTCACAAAGAAGCGTACTGGATTCATGGCTTGGAGATCAAATGTGCACGAATTTTATACAGCTGATGCTTTCAAACCTCCCATCCTACAGCTTTTTCAAAGAAGCACTTCTTAAGCAAACTTTGCTCATTCGCTGTAACAAAACCAAAATTTCCAATAATCAACTGGTAAAAGTTCTTCGGAGTTAATGTTGAAATCAAGAAAAATTTTTTTCGTCCCGCTATGAGAAGCGATGCTTACTAAACAGCAAATATATGTTAAATCCATACAGCACAA